TTCCCTTAATCCCTCCACTATAACCCCCACCACCAATGTTCTTGAGTTGGCTCTGGCCCTTGACATCACCCTAGCCACGATCCAGAGTATTCCTCTCCTTCGAGCTGTTGTGGCATAGCCCCCGTAGTATATCCTTCAACGTAGCTCCATGGCGTAGCTAACTGGCTGAACCAGTAGTGAAAACAGTCGCCGGATAAGAAGCTGTTGGTGGTGCCAGTTTATGCCGCGACACCAGCACAGGGAGGTGGCCGAGGCCGAGGACCTCCAAGATGTGGTCCAGTCCAGTGCTGGAATTGCGAGGAGTATGGTCACATCTCGCCCAATTGTCCGCATGTGAAGAAGCAGCTTGGGTACCAGCCTATTTGCGGGATTTTTCAGACACAAGAACTTCATGAGCAAGACAAATGCCCACATCGTCTCAGAGAAAGCAAGGGCAAGGGCGTTGTGGAAAGTAATCTGGTGATGCTTCACGGAAAGGAGCCAGAGACCCGTGCTGTTTTTACACAAGCTCAGTGACGACCAAACCTAGACACAAAGAGGATCCAGAGATCAAAACCGGAAAGCAAAAAGGAAGAGTGAGAAACAGGCAGAGCAGCTTAAAACTTCTTTGTCGCCAAGAACCAACTGTTAGAGGTAGAGATGATGTGGCATGTAGTTATGCCTACGTGGCAGTAGTTTCATGTATATGTACCATCCATGTACAGTTGAATACAGAGTCCTCCTTATGCGCATCTCTCTACTGCTAACATGATATCAGAGCAATTGGCTCCTTGATCCTGGGCATGGCACTTGCGCTAGGAGGCCAGTTACGAGGAGGAGGATGAGCCTCCTGATTGCAATCCCTTTTTGGAATGCTTGAAACTTTTGTTGGATGCACTAGATGTTTGAGGCGTTGCATCAAGGCACCAGGCCGTGCAGAGGTGCTGAGCAGCAAGCAGTAACAAGCAGAGCATAAAGCCAGTGGGAGATTGAGAGATTTCAGCAACCCATATCAAAAATTGAATCAAGCATTGCATAATAATTCTTTGCAGGAATTTCCAGCAATTGGGAAGGATGTTTATGGAAATTCAAGTGCCTGGTAGCAGTGGAAGTGGGAGTCTGGTAGTCCACAGCCAAAACTACATATTAGTGGCAAGATTGAAGCCATAGCAAAGAGCAAAGGGTGTGCAAGTAAGTCCAAGACCAAAAACCAAGTTTTGGGTAGTTGATTAATGAGTTTTTCATATGCCTTTTTCATCAGCTCTCCATGCTCATCATCTCAGACTAGCTAGGAACGATTCAGGTTTAGATTCAGACTCGGATCAGCCGCCTGATCGTGAGTAAGAGTGTTAAAGGTAAAGATGAGTTATGTGTTTTTCCTTGTGTGCATAAGGGAAAAACATATTTTGCACCACACAACAAATATAAAACTGATTGGGTTGTTAAATGAAGTTGTACTGTCATTTCGAGTGTGTGAGTGCCGTCTCTCCGCTGCTAACAATAATTACCTTTCAGCTGCACAAGAAAAGCTTTACGCCCTATAACATCTTCCAAGATCTCGACAACTAACAGCCCAATATGTCTTTTTCCTAGCTTCTTCAAATGAGGAAGGCAATTGCAATGGCAATGCGAGGCCATCACGAGGTGGTGGTGAACTTGGCATGGCTGGTAATTACAAACATGAGCTCGCCTTGCATTGATGTCGAGATCCAAGGAGAAACAATCCACAGGTGCATGATTGATGGTGGAAGCTAATGCTGGAGGAGACATGGAGGAAGTTCCAGTTAGACGAGCCCACCCCGGTTTCATTCCTTCAGATCAGCGCAGGGTGGCACCTCTCGGGCTCATCACAGGTGTAAAAGCTCGCGTTGCGTTTCATGGACTTTGTTGTCATGCGCATGAAGGGCGGCACTCTCACTTACCCTCTGCTGCCGGGCCGTCCCTGGTTGCTCCAGGCTCAAGCGAACCACGACTGCTTGCTCCAGAATTATCGTAAGAAAATTCAAGTTCACGTTCAGTCTCGGAGTCGAGCAGCGAGACGAGCACTGAGGAGGGCGATCACAGCACCAGCAGTGAGGAGGAGGAGTCCCTGGAAGCCGCTTATGTTGCTGTAAGCAACTCCCTTCTGCTTGTAACACCGAGGAGCTTGAGAATTGGCTATGGGGGCCAAAGAAGGAAATTCCTTTTAGAATTTCCCAGGTTGAGGAGGTGGTGCCACCTCCAGCTCTCAAGAAAATCCGTGTGGCCGTCCAAGGCGTGAGTATGGGCGCTGCTTTGGACCAGGGGCCGTTTAACTACGTGGACGAGGCTATGGTAGAAATCTTGAGGCTGAGTATAGAGCTGGGACTTTCAGCTCAAATCAAGAATGGAGTCTTCCAGGCAGTGCGAGACGTGACGGTATGGGTGGGCGCATTCTCCTACAACTTGGACTTCATGGTGATGCTGTGGCGGTGACGAAATTACTTTGTGCTGGGACGGCCATTTCTTCTCACAGCTAAAGCCGTGTGGCCTCAAGGCATGCCAGCCTTATTTAGTGCTCGTGATCAGGGAGGCCGTGAGCTGCAAGTGCCAGTGTTTGAAGGAGAGGTGCTGCTTGCCAATGTGGTGGCAGTATTTCGTCTTGAGAAAGGGTGGCAGCCACGAGTTCTGGAGCAGCCACAGGTTGTTGAGTGTTCAGCTGTTACCAGCTCAAAGGGGACTCGTGCTTTATTTTTCCTGGCAGTTCTTGAGAATGAAGGTTTGGATCATCTCCCACAAGAAGTGGAGTTGAAGTACATGTCATGACAAGTGGAAATGGTGATATATTATACTGTTGTGTCAATGGAAGAAGCGGCTTCACAGCGATGTTTGATCTGGGAGCTCAACCATGGAGGGAGCATTGCGAGCAGGGTTAGAGATCCAGCCTCTTCCAGTTCCAGTGGTGGCGGTGTGCATTGACAATGGCCATTTTCCAGTGCTTGGCTTTGTCTGCGTGAACATCCGTGATCGGTGAAGGAGGTTTTCATGATGTTCTTTTTTTTTTAATTGTCAAAAAAGAAGTGGGAAGTGTTCCCGTGGTTCTGGCTGTGGCTAAATCAAGCTCGCTACAATTTGCTATGATCAGGATTTTACCTGGTGGAAGAAGTGGTGATTGAAGATCATCCAGCACATTTCTTCCAGAGCCGTGATCAAGTTGAGGGAGGACGGCCGGTTCCAGGCAGAAGATGAATGGAAGAACATGAATGTAGAAGAAGGCTGTGGCAATAAAGTGTGAGTTCCTGGAAGAAATGCCTCGTCCAACAGCCTTGGAACGCGTGGAGCGAAGGTTGGCGGTGAGTGCATCGCACAAGGATTGCTTGGGATCAGCAGATCTGCGTGAGTTGTCCAACCTACAGTGCGGATGCTGGCCGTGGTGCTGGCCGGAGTGGCAGAGGAGGCACAAGAGGGGCTAGGCAACAGTGATCTCCATGTAGCTTGTGTGTGTCGTCGCACACCTCAATAACAGCTTTTCTTTTCTAAAACAACGAAAACATCTCAGCCTTGTGGTAGCGCAGCACCAGATTCGCTACTATCTAAGGTTTCCAAAATGGTGGCTGTACGAGCGCCGACTGGTAATCGGGACGACGGAGCAGAGACCGGAGGCACTGGACATGCCGCTCGATTCTTCACTACGCTCAATTCTCTGGTTCCACAGAAAAGCCCCACCCGCTGCTCGTGGAAAGAACTTCTCGTTCCCTCGAGAAGTTCCCCCGAGAAGAAAGGCCTTCTCCGACGGTTACCTGCTGGCAACTGCTCTCAAAGACCTCGATCGATGAACGGGTTTCGCTCTTCGTCAACCCTAATTGGTGAATTGGTTCCCGCCAATTAGGGTTCTTGAGACTAACCCGGCTTCTTCTCGTGAGTGATCCAGAATGGAACACGATCGATCATCTTTGTGTGCAGGAGTGTCAAGCTTGGCGAGGATCGGCTGCGCGGCTGCCTCCGCCTGGTGGAAGCCGCCTTCTCAACCAATCAGAAGTTCCGGCGCGTCAAATTCCTGCTCACGGAGGACGCAAAGATCCCGGCGTTTGTGCTCCAGGCTGCTCATCGGCAGCTTCTTGCCGCAGCAGAGCTGGCTTCTTGGGGCGCTGGACATGATCTTCGCCACTCCCGGCCAGGCTCTCCACTACGACAGCGCCGGGCACCTCTCTTCCATCACCGTCAAGGCGCTTCTCATCGACAAGCAAGCGAGCCTCGATTTCGTCGCACAAGCTTTCAGCTTTGCCAGCGCCTTCGCAGGCTTCGAAGAGTTTGCAAGCTTTTGGACGTCCAGCCAAGGCAGTGGTTCGCTCCTCCACGCCCCGCTCCAGCGAGCTCACACTTTCTGGAGAAGTACATGCCTCGTAAGTCGGTCTTTGCGTTCTAGCTCGAGGTTTCCGTTCATCTGATATCAGTCCAGTGACAAAGTGCTACGATGGATGGGACGACTCGCTCTCCACTTCGGGGCTGACCATGTTTTCCTGGGGGAAGAGCAACGTTCTCATCCACGACTGGGTGAGATGCCGCTCTTTCTGCGTGGCATCATTCACTGCTCCCGGTCTCGTGTCGCTCCTCTCGTTCTGGCTCCAAGGGACAAGCTCCCTCTCATCGTCAGCGCTCTCAACATCGGCAACAGGGAAGGCGCTCAAGTCCTTGTAGACTCCATTGACGAGCTTGTCATGCCCAGATACGTGGGAAGTCTAGTCGTTCTCCAAGCTGACGAGCTACTCGAGTCTCCATAGTAGTATATTGTAATTGGTCATGTTTAGTAGTAACTAATCTAGTCTAATTTTCCAAAAGGTGTTGTAGACAGCATTCTATACTGCTCAGCTGAGAATGGGGTTCTACGTGGCGGCAAGCGAGAGCTACTAAACACGAAAGCAAATTAATGTTCGTTTAAAACAAAGATTGAAACATTGTAAGACGTGGAGGTGATGTGGATGGCAGTGGCAGTAGCAAGTATACATAGCCTTCTTGAAAACAGTGCGTGGTTTAAACTTACTCTTGTCGAGCGTCTTGAGTGATCATGGTGAAGACTGAATCGCAAGTAAGTCATTCTCAGCATAGAAATGACAAAAGGCTCCTTCTCCCGGCTTCATGTTGAGCGCCCTCAGAGATGGAGAATCTCGAGCGAAGCTAGATGTGTCCTCGTGAAAAATGAGTACAGCTACCTCCTTTTCAGCAGGCTTCTGGCTGATGTGCCCTTCTACGTAGATTGCAATCGTGTTGTCAATCTTGTGGCACGAGTAGACCGCATATGGGAAGACAATCTTGTGGCAGATGGTTTGGATAGCAGGCATGTTGTCAATGCGGGTGAGTGTGATCTTTGTTGGAGAGCTTTGGAACTTTGCAAGCTTGACAAATTTGGCTTTCGGGAAATTTCTCTTGACGTAAGTGTCCATAGAACTCTTAGAAGCGAAACAAGCACGTACCTCCCCAGCTATGGCTTTACCACCACAATAGGCTTGGTAAGCCTGAACCATGACGCTGAAGTATTGGTTGGATGATCCCGGCCCGTATCCCATCGCCACTAGAAAGCCAGCAACATTGGCAGCGTCAGGAAGGAAGGATGAGCGATTGGAGAGAAAGCGGCGGTGAGGAAGCTTGTCGTCAAGGATGGGAATTGTGATCGATGCTCCAACAGCGAGAGAGGTGGGAAGCAGCACTCCACTGTCGACGGCAGAGATGTTGCGAAAGGACGTTTGTAGGAGAGGAGAATACGATTTCGCAGCCAATTGCCAGGTGGCGTCGTCCAGGCTGGCAGCAAACCACGATGACGGTGCGGGCAGGATGCATCGAGCAACAGGGCATGGACTAGTCCCGTTGCGAGTATCTACCAGCTCGTAGCTATAAGAGTCTGCAAGAACGAACACCAAAGCCAGAAAAAAGACCACCATCGTCTTCATCTCTCGAGTGAGTTCAGCGAGCTTGCCCAGGAGGGATCGAGTGAGCGAGCGAGCGAGTGAGGCTAGAGAAGCAAGCACACGCTCTGAGAGCACACAGTAGGCCACATTTTGTAGCAAACGAAGAAGACTTTGACGTACACAAAGTAGGCAGCGCCATTGTTTATGCTTGTTGTGCAGAAGACATATCTAACCTTTGAGAAGCTACGTAAAGAACTTTAGGTTTCTTGGATGAAAAGTGTGATGAAGTTTCTTAGCGACTACAGAGCTCCAGACTATACATTTGATTCCGTAAGTCTCTCAATCACAGCGCCCCAGTTTCCTACTCGTTTTCTCCAGGTGAGTTTAAGCTTCGATCTCGGGGAAAATGTTACAAGCGTGCGAAGCTCGATCCTTGTCGTACCAAAGTCTTCCGGTGGGTTTCTTTTTATCTCTTTTTCCTGTTCTTGACAGACTTTGTTCTTCTATCAAAGAGTTAGTTCCTCTTGTGCTGGATGGATCGAATTTGAAGCTCGTCTATGTCAAAATCAATGGCCTAGAGGCCCAAGATGTGGAGCTCACGTCGTCCAACCTCACACTTCTTGCGCCTCCCAAGAATCCGTTCAAACTGGAAATTGGTACAGAGATTTATCCTTTGCAAAAGCTCAACAACGATGAGGTACGTAAGTACTTTCGGTTTAGCTAAACATCATAGACAACTGCTTTAGGGACTCTACTACAGCTCCAGCAATGGCTATTTCGTGACGCAGTGTGAGAGCGCGGGCTTTAGTAAAATCACGTTTTACCAGGTCTGGAATATAATTTGTAAAGTTGCCAGGACGATATCTAACAAAATTTCTCAGGATCGTCCCGATGTTTTGGCCAAGTTCACTGTGAGAATCGAAGCATCTAAAGATAAGTTTCCTGTTCTCCTTTCTAATGGAAACTTGGTTGAGTCGGGCCAACTTGACGTGAGTTCATTCCACTTTCTTTTTGGTGGTCAATGTCATTGAGGTTTTTTTCCTTCCAGAATAATGACAAGCATTACAGCGTTTGGTCAGATCCGTTTCCAAAACCGTGCTATCTTTTCGCGCTGGTGGCCGGCAAGTTTGAGGCTCGACAGGAAAAATTCACGACTCGCTCCGGACAACTTGTCAAGCTAAACATTTGGTCACCCTCCGAGGACGTTGCAAAGACTGAATTTGCAATGGCGGTGCTAAAATCCGCAATGAAATGGGACGAGGATGTAAGTTGTTGTGCTTCTATATTGCTCATCTCTAGATAATTGTCTCTTAGGTTTATGGCCTGGAATACGACCTTGACAATTTCAATGTTGTCTCGGTACCAGATGCTTTTATGTAAGTATTCTTGCTCTCTAGAACTGGCTTAATTTTCTGATTTCTTTTGGTTTCCAGGGGTGCCATGGAAAACAAAAGCTTAAATGTAAGTATCATGCTTTTGTAATAGTAGTTGACAAGTCCGTGGTGTAGATTTTTAACGCCAAGTTCTTGCTTGTATCACAATGGACAAGCACGGATGCTGACATACAATTCTTGATGGGCATTGTTGCCCATGAGGTAGACATATTATATACCTCTTTTCTTCCTATAACTCCTCTATAGTTCTTTCACAACTGGACTGGCAACAGGTACTTCACACTTTTGGTCAATTCCTTTCTCCTCCTTACAAAGCCATGCCTCCAGAGTGACTTGCAGGGACTGGTTCCAGATATCTCTCAAGGAAGGCCTTACAGACTTTAGAGAGCTCGAGTTTCTCTCCGACATGGGATGCCGATCCGTGCGAACTATTGCAGCGGCGAGTTCGTTGCGAAAGCGTCAATTCCAAGAGGTGAAAGTAGAACAACCATTCCAGTTCTTTGATTCTTGTTGTAAACTTACAGGACTCGGGTCCATTTGCTCATCCAGTCAGGCCAGCATCTTATGTTGAGGTATGTGTCATTCATTTGCTAAATTCTTATGGTTTATGTTCTTATCATGTGTTCAGGTTGACAACTTATACACAGGTGAGCTTAGAACTCTTTGCTTATGCATAAAATATTAAATAGAAACACTACCACTGTCCCAGCAACGGTTTATGAAAAGGTGAGCACATTGTCATTATTGCTATTGTTCTTGTAGTTATTATTTATATGTTTTATTTTTCAGGGAGCTCAAGTCATTGGTCTTTACCAAACATTGCTGGGAAAGTCTGGATTTCTAAAGGTTTAGCATTTCATTTAACATAAAAAAGCTGTGCAAATATTTTTTCTTTCGCAGGGGTTTAAGTTATATATTGAAAGGCATGACGGTCACGCAGCAACATGCGAAGATTTTTACCAGGCTATGTGTGATGCCAACTTGGACGACCTCTCATCCTTTATGCTATGGTAACGTTTCAAGTTTTACGGCAAATGGAAAAAGAATAGTGTGAATTCAGGTATACGCAGGCCGGAACTCCATGCTTGAAGATCAGTTCGTTTTATAATCCACAAGCGTCAACCTTTACTGTAAAATGCCGGTAAGAAAACATCGTATTTTTAAGTATATTTGGTATAGACTTTGTGGCAGGCAGGAAACAGCTCCAACACCAGGACAAGCTGATAAAAGTCCTCTATTGATTCCTCTAGCCGTGGGTCTACTAAACAGCCAAGGACGAGATATTCCTTTGTCAAGGGTTCTAGTCGATGGTATTGAATCGTCTCCAACAGTTGAGCATAACGAGAGTACTGGCGCAATAACAGCTCTTCTTCGGGTAGAACAGGTTCGGCTTTCCATTTTTTAATCTATTTAGAACGTTCCTGACTGATAATGCTATCTAGACGGAACACGAATTTACATTCTTGGACGTGAAAGAGAAGCCAGTTCCGTCTTATTTGAGGAGCTTTAGTGCTCCAGTGCGTTTGATAACACCAGACCTTAGAGAGGAGGAGTTATACTTCCTCTTTGCAAACGACTCGAATGATTTTAACAGGTAATCTTCGTGGAAAAAACCTATTATCATCATGCAAGATTGTTTTCGTTTCAAGGTGGGATGCTGGCCAAAGGATTGCCAAAAGTTTGATACTGGACATGACCACAAGTTTTCAAAATGGTCAAGAGCTTACAACTCCACTGGCTTACACCCATGCGATCAAAACCATTCTAAGCATCCCAACCTTAAACAAGGTAATATTCCTCTTTCTATGTAGAATCTTGACTTAAGCGCAAGGCATTCGCAGGAGTTTGTCGCTCTTGTGATCACTCTACCAGATGATAAGGAGCTTTTGGAGATGACCGAAGTTGCAGATCCGGACGCTTGCCACTTTGTCCGACGTTTTTTGATAAAATGTTTGGCTACAGAGCTCAAACAAGACTTCATGCGAGTGGTAAGTTACAGCAAATTCACAAGAACTTCTTGTATAAGGAATGGTAACAGGTAAAGGAGAACCGATCCTCGGAGCCTGCTTTTGAGTTCAACCCCGAAAGCAAAGGCAAGCGCGATCTAAAAAATGCGGCACTCTGTAAGCAGCTTCATTCCTATTTCCATTTTCTTTTTCTTTTTTTCACTCAGAGTTTTGCAGATTATCTTGCATCTCTAAATGATAAAGAAACACTAGAACTGGCATGCGAAGAGCTTGACAACGCCACAAACTTGACTGATCTTTTGGGAGCTTTGTCGGCAATCTCTCAAAATCCTGGACAGGAGCGAGAGAAAATCCTGGCATCTTTTTACGAGAAATGGAAACACGAGCGCCTGGTATGTACATGTTCTTTGTGAAAGACGGAAAACATATATCGAAGCTTGTTCCAGGTTGTAAACAAGTGGATCCATCTCCAAACGTCAGCTGATACTCCAAACAACGTGGAGCTTGTGAGACAACTTTTACACCACCCTTGTTTCGATCCTCGGGATGTCACTAAGGTTGAAAACTATTTTGTTTGTAAGCACTAAGTCCTTTCCAGGTTTCTGCTCTTTTGGGAGGCTTCTTTAGCTGCATTTTCAACTTCCATGCCAAGGATGGATCTGGTTATGAGTTCATGGCCGACTTTGTGATCGAAGTTGGAAAGTTCCATCCCAAGGTAATTTTTAATCCTATGAACCCAGCCAAATTATGTTTATCTCTCTTGTTCTAATCTCTTTTGGTGTGTTAAGGCTTTGTCACTTTCACTTTCTTCTGCATTAGCAAATTTGTGGAGGTTTGATGCCAAGCGACAAACGCTGGCCAAGGTAAGGCTTTCAAGAAGTTACATTTTATTTTTATATTCTATGCGTTTAGGAGCAATTGAGGCGCATTGCTTCTGCAGAAGGTATTCCAAACCCAATCCTGGACACAGTAACAAAGTGCTGGAAAACTAGTTGAAAGTTTTAACAATTTTTTTTTTCTGCTGAGATGCTTTTTGCACAAAAAAGCTGGAAGTTTGCACTCGACCACTTCTTTTCGGGGTGAGAAGAAAATGATGCCACACTTAGTTACGGTTATCTTGATATACACTAGAATTGCAAATATTTTTCAGCTTTTTCTATGTTGAGGCTGAATAAAATTTTTCACCTATGCAGCAACTTAAATTGTCAAATTCATAGAGAAACAGAGACTGTCTTATATGAGATACCCATGTTCATTTTTAGATTGGTTTATTGTATAGGTACCAGCAAGTTTTGTCATCTTCAAAATTTCTAATATATTTCCTGATAATCTTTAATTTTTATTTAAATAGAAATAAAATCATGGTTCAATATATTCTAAACAAGCTACAAGCTTACCATCTATATTAACAATAAAGGTATCCATATCTAGATTTTTTTCCTCACCTCCACAAAAAGCATGTAAATAATGTTTGTCTTCAATTGAAACATTATTACAGGATCCTAAGAAATGCCCAAATCCTCTAAATTCTAGTTCATGTTTTGAAGTAAATGTAACTACATCATTAAGATTTGCATCACTATTTTGAGCTGACTTATCCTTCTTGTAACAATCAGCATTCAATATAGCTTGGTCTTTAATGATAATATTATAGCACGTCTTAGAATAATCCTTGCATTTTATTGCCTAAAAATAAAACTAATTAATGAATCATACTCTTGTAAGAATGAAATATATTACCTTTGGAATCAATCTTGTATTTATTATTGTCAGATTCATAAATGAAAGAGATAGTAGTATTATATGAGATATCTCAATTTTCATTTTTAGATTGGTTTTTTGTGCTTGAAGACATAAGTACCAATAAGTTTTGTCATCATCAAAAATTAAATTTTCTAATAAATCTCCTAGTTGAATTGCTTGATTGCCAAATGGTCTTTTTAAATTGTATAAAATTAAATATATTAATATGTTTATTTTAAAGTTTTAATATTATTTAATAACATGTATTTACTATCTCTTTATATTTAATTATTCACCACTACTCAGTTATGGAATAAAACTTAAAAACTTTATTTATGGGAATTGAACCCTATACCTATATTAGGTATAATAGTTTTTCAAAGCCTCTAAAAAGTAAGGTTTTGAAAACATGATTTCTTCTTTTATGACCTTTCTCCTTTATAAAGTAGAGTTATGAAGATAGTGTTTCACACAATTTCCTCTTCTCATAGAAGATTAAATTTTATAGAAAGAAATTTAAATAGTATATATGGTTTTCACCTTTTACTTTATAGTGATTTACTAAAATAGCCACGAAATGGAATTTAACCCTTGGATGTATATGTTAAGAGCAATATTGAGTTTTAAAACTTTAGGCCACAGAACGAAGGGACAATAAACTCCCAAGTATATATATACTTGAGGGGTGAAGAAACTGGAGTATAGAATAACTCCTACACATACAGCTTAGGAGTGAAGGAATAATAATATAGAGTGACATTAGAATAGTTTTAGAGCATTTAACATCCTAACACCAAGATTAACACATAAAATACAACCAAATAGAATTTAACATTATTTCAATATATCAGTGGCATAACATAAGGATATAAGTATTCCATTCGCTAACATAATATGGACTTTGGGATTAAGTCCAACGTAAATGCAAAATAAAGATAAACATAACTAACAGGAAGCTAGATAATGACTTAGATTGGTTGGCCACCCAACTTACCCATTATCCCTACTATACTATATAGTTGCAACTCCCTATAGGCCCTCCATGAAAGTAGATTTTGAGCTTTATTTGAGTCTCAAGAGTTAGTTTTTGGGACAATTATGAAAACTTACTAAATATGGAATGATGTTAGATTGTGAATTTGGACGCGGAAACAATATCAAAACAATCTCAAATCAAAATATATTTCGTAGATATGAATCTAGACACTTTCTATAAATAGATAATGAGACCAAATAAGACCAACACATAGGGTATGATAATGAAAATGTCTTAATGGATACAATAACTATCATTTAACGAATATTGAGGGTTCAAGCTCAATATCACGGTGGTTTCCAAAACTACTAAATACAAATTAATATATGAGTTTTCCATCTTGGGCCAAGTATGCTTAACAAAAAATATATAAGAGTTCCAACTTTATATTTATCCTATCCAGGTGCACAAATGATGATTAGTTTCTTAACTAATTTGAGTGGAGACTAATAAAGGGTCTACCAATACCAATATTTTATTGTCATGGCAGTAATAGAAGAATATCCCAAAAGACTTATCAATACATAACATTCGATATCTGCAATCACATTCGCAACAATTTATAACTATAATATTCAACAGATTTATACTACTTCATAGCACTAATTAATCTCTCTCTCTCTCTCTCTCTCTCTCTCTCTTGCATGAAAATCTCAATAAGAAGTGGAAAGCTCACACTTTCATAAATTGGCTCTAAACTTCAAATGATATAGCTTTGAGAAGCTAAATAATATCTTTTACAAGGTGCAACTTTTATAAGATGCCATATAACAAAGATAGAAATTGAGTGAATAATATAAATTTTTAATTTTTCTTCTTGAGTAGCAAATTTGAAAATTTTGGATATTGAATAGCTAACTCAAGTCATACATGGATCATAAGACTTAGGCTTTTCAAAAAAATTCATAAGAGGGTAAAGCACAAACTTAAGTATATTAAATTTTTTCTTTTCTCATTATACTCTTAATTGATATATAAATAGTACATTTTTCTTAACTTCAACACTATTTTCTAAAATTTTATTACTTTTATTTTTGAAAATGAAATTCATTTATATACACATATAAATTTTAGACTCATTTTAAGTTACCATAAGTTATTACTATATTATTATTTTAGGGAAAAGTAAACTTCTTATGGGTTTGCTATAAGTGGTAAATAGGATGGTATGACACTAATAGATTGTAAATTATAAATTTTCTTTTTCCAATTTTCCAATTTACCTCATCTATCCAACCATCTTTCCCTTAGTCTTAGTTAAGTTTCTTTGCCAAGGTCATCTATTGTACTAACTCCTACTTGGTTTTACTTTAATTAATTACTCACTACACAAGAAATAAAGTCTCTTAATCCCCTTTCTAAGTTAGACTACACTTAAGGTCTCAACTACATTCCCTATAAACACAAGCAAGTAAGCACAACAAACCTCTTCTTAACACCTCTTATTAAAACAAGACTTGATTATGGAACCCTTTAAATCCAAAGCCTTAGGTGCATAATTTACTAGGGAAACATTATACCCTAATGGCTTGGTATGGGTATCTTTATTCCTCCACCTCTATCCCAAAGGGAAGGCCCAAACCCCTAAAAAAGAGTGAGGACCAATGAGTTACAAAATGGGGCATCAATGCACTTAAGTTAAGAGTATTGCAATTAATTTTTTCTTCCAAGAGTGGGAGTTATTTTTGAGCACTTCTTTAAAGGGCCTCTTTAGCACATTTCAAGTTCATGCTCACTCCTATAGAAGGCCCTAGTTCCAAGTTTAAAAGCACCATTAAAGAATTCCTTCAGAACAAGATCTTTAGTGTAGTGTACGTGGTTTTTACCTTTTATCCTATAATGATTTACCATGAAGTAGACCTAAATCCTCTATGTGCCACATGCCATATGCCACATGTCCAAAGGATAACAGAGTGGAACCTAAGTTTTAGGGCTTTTGGCCATTAAACAAAGGAACGGGGCTAAACTCCTAAGTATAGAGCTAAGGAGCAAAGGTATTAGAGCACGAACCAACTCCTGAGTGTACAGCTCAAAGAACGAAAGGACAAGAGTATGGAGCAATTTGGAACAATCCTAGGACATCCAAGACCAATATGCAAAACAAAGATAAACGGAGTTTGGTGCTATTTTAGCATAACATTCGTTTGACGTGAGGATATGGGTACTCTACCAACTAGCATGGTGTGGAACTTGGGCTTAAACCCAAGCCAAACATAGAATAAAGACACGTACACAAGTAAGAGTTAGACTATGTTTCAACTTAGTTGGTCATGCCCAACTTACCCATTATCCCTACAATACATTTGAAACCCCCCATATCCCCCCCTTTGAGGAATGCACATCCTTAGTATCAGGAATTAGTCTCTGGGACTAACTCAAAACTTACTAAATATAGAATAGTGTTAGATTGTGAATTTGGACACTAAACAAACACCATTGTGTTCAAAACAATCCCTACATTCTGTAGATAAGCTAAATTAGCAAATTTAGACACTTTCTATAAATAGCAATTGAGACCAAATGGAACTAACACAAGGTGCATAATAGGGTGTTTGGCGAATACGGTAAGGTATCATTTGGTGAATATTGACAGACCATGTTCAATATCACAAGAGTTCCCAACACTAGCAAGTGCAAGCCAACAATATGAATTTCTCATCACCGTGTCAAGTATGTTTGACTAAATTGCAACTTAGGATTTACTTTCTTAGTGCCCTTCTAGTTTATGTGCACATGTTATGACTAGTTTCTTAAGTAATTTAGTCAAAGACTAATAACAGGTCTAGCAATACCAACCTTCTGCCATCATGGCAATGAGGAAAGAATATCTGAAAGGATTAACTAATAGGTAACTTTCAATACCCGAAATTATATTTGCGACACTTTCCCCCCCTTAGGAAAGATTGACATCCTCGTTGATGCACACTTTAGTTTAGACCCCCGGCAAGGAAACAACTCTAGAAAAAGTTCATAATGATCACACTTTGTGAAAAATGTACCAACTTAAATGAGTTAGGGTAACTTCTTTGTCTAACGCAGATGTGCTATCAACTCAAATACCTTCCAACCATCGCTAACAAGGAAATGACCAATGGAGTTAGCCACCCTTGCTGCTCTAGGTGTCATCTAATTTACAAAAGTGTGATACACTCCTATTTGCATGGATATAAAGAGAGAAGTTAAAGACCCCAACCCTTATGGGCAAAGAAACCAAACCTATTGGTAAGGTTTACATAAACTACTATAAATAGGCAGTTAGAGTTGTTTACATGGTTACGCCCTTTGAACAGATTAAGAAACATTA